TTAAAGCCCATATTCACACACAGACAGAGGAAGATCATGGATCTCATCAGTGTGTGTGTGTGTGTGTGTGTGTGTGTGTGTGTGTGTGTGTGTGTGCGTGTGTGTGTGTGCGTGTGTGTGGGCGTGTGTGTGTACATTCATGAATGCATATGCTTATGCATCATGGAGTGGGGGGGTTGTCCATTTGTTAAGCCTATGAATAATAATAAGCATAATGCACAAAGTAATAGATGAGATTTTCAGTGGAAGGCCAACTGTGTATTGTGAGGAGGGGAGCTTGTTACACCTCTGCACAAGTAAGTCCAGCAGTCTCTTTATAACTGTGAGTAAGCAATTCACTAGAAATACAGTACATGTGAAGTCTCAAGTGATAACTAGTACGAGAAACCTCAATAACTCTGTCATAGTTGTTTCCACATTACCACCACCTCCCCCCGAGTTCTGCAGAAAGACACATGACATGGCCAGAAGGTAAGCTGGTGAGGAATGTCACGGCTGAGCAGTGGTGGAAGAAGCACTCACATCCTTTACTTAAGTGAGAGCACCCACAAAGCAATCAAAAAAAACACTCATCACGAGTTACAGTCCTGCATTCAAAAGCTTACACAAGTAAAAATACTTCCTGTGGTTCCTGTGACTGATATGTTGTCAGTATTAGATTTTATTCTTGATGTGTCAATACGCCTTTCACTGCTGGTTTGATCTGCTTTACATACAGTTAGGTAGTTTCGATCAGTGGTTCCCAGTCCAGGGCTCAGTCTCCTTCAGTGTCATAAGATAAATCTGCAGGGTGGCGGGGTGATAGATGATAATCATATTTTGTGTTTTTCTAATTGGTGGCTTTGTTAAATATTTGACAACTCGACCCCTTTGGATCTTTAACAGTTGTATAAATGAACTAGAATCACCTCCTCACGGTTATATTCCTCCACCAACCAGTCAAGTTGCAGGAAATATGGTCACAATCTCTCCTTCCTGATTTACAGCATTGAATAATGGCCAGAAGTGTGTTTTTTACATTGTGATGTCATAGTGAAGTTGACCTTTGACCTTTGGAGATAAAATAAAATCACTTCATAATTTTATTCTCACTGACATTTGTGTTAAATTGTGCCAAAATTAGTGTATGAATTTGTGAGTTATGGCCAAAAACATGGTTTGTGAGGTCACAGTGACCTTAGACCTTTGACCACCAAATTCTAATTAGTTCATCCTTGAGCCCAAATGAATGTTTGTGACAAATATGAACAAATTCCCTCAAGGTGGTTTGGAATATCACATTCAAGAGGCCAAAAACATGTTATGTGAGGTCACAGTGACCTTTGACCTTCGGGAACCAAAATCTACCCTTTTCGAAACTTGAGTCCAAATGGACCTTTGTGCCAAATTTGAAGGGATTCCCTTGAGAAGCTCCTGTTATATTAAGTTCACAAGCCCAAAACTGTCTTTGGTGGGGTCACTGTGAGACTGACGTTTGATCACCAAAATCTGATCAGTTCATCCTTGAGTCCAGGGCTATTGCCAGCGTGGAGGCGTAATAAGGTGGAGTCTCCGTCTGAGACAGCCAAGGTTGACTCACACCAGTGGACCAAGGTCCAATCACACAGCGAGTCCGGTGGCAGTCCACCTCATCAGGTGGAATCTACAGGCTGCATCCAACACTGTCAGTCTGTGGACAAAAATATCTGGACACTTCTAAAACCTGTTTACCTCATCCAGCACAGAAAAACCCTCCAGAGTGGAGCCAGCCTGCTTCAGGCAACATCCAGCACAGAAACTCAAACACACACTGAATGTTTATACACTGTTTTTATATTCCAGGTTTAGTTTAGTGTAAATCTGCATGTCTGACATGATGCTGCTGAAGGTGAAGAAAATAAACTCCAGTCTGACTTTTTCTTCTATGTTTTTCTGTGTTTAAAGGTTCAGTGAAAGGTTCTCCTGACACTGAGTCATTTTGTTCAGGAGTTCAACAGCTAGGAGAAGGTGTGGCGCTCTCACCCTGACTCTCAGCTCATCAGGCACAGCACCTCGTACACTCTCACACAGACGCTATCACTCTTTGGTTTCTCCATTAACGTTACAGGTCAGCATGAAGTAACAACAACTGAAAAACATCTCCGCTTCTTCACCTTTGCTCTTTCCAGAGGGTTTGTGAGGGTCGGGGGGTGCAGAGGAGCTATCTCTGAGTTAAAGTCATTCACATCAGTTACACCTGCCTTGTACTCACATTGCCTTCCAGATGTTGAGCACCTGGACCTGCAAAGGGTATGAATACACAGCCATAGACATTTTTATACTTTCTTTATGTAATAAGTGTATGTTGTTGCGCTATATGATGAACAAGACATTATATCTGCCTGTAAAATCGCATATAGATTTTAAGTGTTCTTATGTTCATAAAAATGTTCTCACTCTTCATTTTTTTTGGTGTAGCAGGAAGTGCTGTTATGGGCTTATTTTAAAAAAGTTGTACTTGCTGCACTTGTGAGAGCTGTACTTCCTCTTTCACCATACTTTCTACTGGGAAGGCGTGGGGAGCATAATACACAGAAACAACCCTACAAAATGTTGTCTATTCATAATTGCAGAATTGCAGCTGCTATTGACCACTCACACCAATAAAATGCTCAAGGCCATCCCAGGAAACACTGTCTCATTCTTTACATAACACAACACAGAGTGAGATCCACTACATGTGGATATTATCCTCTGTAGATATTCCCCATGCTGACCATGTCCATGTATTCTTTGGCTGTACTGTCATTTCAATTGGCCCCTCATTCTGCAGATGTGACATGCAATCCATGAGCGATGACGATTACATCAACTTCTTCCTAGACCTGGAAGTGAAGCCAGTGTCTGCTCATTTCAACTCCAAACACACTCTATCCCCACTTCAAACTTTGTGGATTTGTATAAATGTGTGTGTCAAAGTGATTTTTATATCACCCATGAAAATATTTTAACTAAAAACATGCTTCTTATTCCTGTTCCCTGCTGCAGGAGGGCCGGTTGCTTGGGAGTCATCTCAACGCTGGTCATTCTTGACCCTGCCAAAGTGAGTAATGCGACATCCATCACAAATGGCCTTAAACCCGAGTACAGTGCAGTCAGGTGTCAGGCTCAGCGGTTTCCCTCTTTCTGTCTTTCGCTTTCAATGTGTGATCCAAATCTCTTCTCTTGACAACAAAGTGTTGATTCTACAGCTGAAAAGATTCAGATTCACACACTCCTTCAACCTGGAGAGGGCGAACAGCTGCGTCATTTTGTCAAGAGAGGTGTGGGTGAATCTTGAGTCCAGAAGTGGAAGTTGTTATTTTAGCCGTCTTTGCTATACTTACAATGACTCTACAGGGCATGATGATAACTGATCTTAAAACAAACATTCAGAAATCAGCCAATATACCTGCAGTGAAAAGAAATGTGTCTGTGCATGTAGCTACTTGTTGACAGCTGCATTACTTTCTAACTCTAACTCTACAAGCATGTCAGTGAGACAATGGCCGCCTCAGTCTGTCACCAGAGAAAAACTACCTGTTGTTGTACAAGAAACAGGTAGGAGAAAAGCTCTATCCATATTCAACAGACTGTATCTCATATGTTGGTTTCTTATAAAAGACACAAACACTCATGTTTTTAGTAATTTTCCCATCGAGGAGGAAAAAAGATGTTTGTGCAAATAAGCAATATAATATTATATATATGTGTGTGTTGTTTGATTTTTCAGCAGTAAAACAGCCTGATGGTTAGGAGATGGGTCTGCCACACAGGAAGCAGCACAGACCTGCAAACTCTACAACAACTCCTGCTGTTTTTGATGCTTTTAAGAAAACACTTTTAAAAAAGCTTTTAAAAGAAGTGTCAATATATGCACCAAATCTGGCTTATACATCCCTTGAATCTAAAACAGCCTAAATACAGTATTATGTAGGCCTATCTAGTTCCCGATCCTGTTGCTATTAAAAGAACTGTTCTTATGTGTTTGTTTTCTTCTCAGCAGTCAAAGAGTCCTGATGTCAGAAAGATGCAGATGAACCAACAGGAACTGCTGTAATACTTTGGGGGCAGAAATGAACAACTTGTTGTTGTTGTCATTGATTTTTGTTGTAAATTTAAAAAAAGTAAGTTGATATAGTTGCACCAATAACCAAGATAAAGATGACTGATTCTGGAAAACTTAAAGGTAATGTTAAAGTGAGCACAGTGGGCAGGAGTAACAAAGGTAGTGTTTATTATTGACAAGAATGAAAGTGAGATCTAGAAAGTTTAACAAAAATCACTTATGAGAGAGGGGGAAAAACCAACAAATAAATCTTGATGCTGCCACCTACACACTCTTATTATAGACAAGTGGGACTTTCTCAAAAGAAAAAACAAAACATAATTGACAGGGAGATGCACTAAAAAAGCTCCCTCTGTTATCCCATATGTAATGTATATTAAAAAAACCTGAAATTTAACAAAGACTGCACTTTCTCTGTCAATTTTCATTTATAGACTATATATTTATTGATTTTTATTGAAATTAAGTGATGTCTGTATACATGTAGCAAGGCAGCAAGTAATGTTCAATACAAACACGAACCTTAACTTTACCTTCAGACAGATTAATGTGGAAGCAACAAATATTATATTTCACCTTTGCAGGCTTTTGGATACAGGCAAAACTTTCTAATAATTATTTAATTAATATAGAATTTTTATGGAGTTTGTTGAACAAATGAACTGCATCGAATAACATCAGACTTTGAAAAATATAACTTTGTCCAAACTCAATAACACTTCGGTGTTTCCTGCTGTGCTGTTAGTGGAAAATAAAGTACTCACCACGGCTGTCAGCGATTTTATACCCATGCGCTGGGAGGACACGCCCCCCGCGTTCCCACATCTCACAGGGCAGAAAGTGATTAGCCCATCGCGGCTGTCTGTCACGCCTATCTACCGTAGCTTCCTGTGTGAGCGGTTGGACTCCGTCTGTCTGCAGAGAGTCTCCGGTATGGACAGGCGCCTTACTCCACAACTTTTTACCGGAGATTTTACCACTGTTATTCTACATTTGACACCGTGTATACCAACTGGACATGGATTTCTGAACGGAATAAGCCGAAACTGAGCTCGACGTGAGTTAATTCGACCGTTGAAATTCATTTTTTGTTGTTCTAGTTGTTGAAGGAAGAGGGAAAATGCCAGTTGCAACTCTTCTGCCTTTTACCGCGACCCCGAATAGGAAGTCTGCCAGCCCGACCTCTTTCAGGTTGACAGAGAAATTTATTTTGTTATTGGTGTTCAGCGCTTTTATAACCCTATGTTTCGGGGCCATTTTCTTCCTACCGGACTCGTCCAAGCTTCTTAGCGGAGTTTTCTTTCATTCCTCCGCGGTGGAGACCAACACCCGCACCGGTCCGGACAGCAGCGACTCAGGTTCGGCTGGAAACGACGAGAGGGTCCTGGCAAAAATCAGGAAAGACCACGAAAAAGCTCTGCTAGAGGCAAAGGATACTCTTCAAAAACGGCCCGACGAGATTAAACAAGACATTAATACTGATAAGGAGAAAGTTGCAAAGGAGAGTATGGGTCAAGGTGGGAAGGATGTCAATAATTTACCTTTCGTTGAGTATCACCGCCCGCCCGGGGCGACTGGGCACGAACCTCTGGACCCCGAAACCAGGGAAAGACGGACTAGAATCAAAGAGGTAAGGATCTGTTGAGCTCTCGCACTGTACGTTAAATGGAGAAAAACGTCACTCCAAACCCCGCGAAATATCTGACATTTTTTTAAATTTTCTTTGGCCTAGGTCTGTTTTTATCCACAATAGAACATGTTTTGAAACGTAAGACGAATTATGCATATCCCCTCTACAATTCGGCGCACATATAAAACACCAACGAGCACTAAAATGAATAAAATTATAACTTTTAGGAAATGCTCGACTGAGAAAGTCCCTGCCGATGTCGCTTACGTTATACCGCACAGAGCTGTGGCATTAAGTGTACAACAAGTATACAACTTGTGATCTTGCTGAATGAAAGCTGACCATGGTGTAAACATTTCAAGCCGAAATTGGCAGAACAATTTGTAGTATTTAGCTTAAGATTTTGTGCCATGTTATGAGATCTGCTTACACCTGCTGGTGAATTAGACACGTTGATTTGGCCGATTTTTAAACGAAGTTCGGCGTGACGTTTTCCTTTACACGTAATTTAACAGCAGTCAGTTCCTGGGGGAAAAATGGAAAGAATGCAGGCAGGATCCACCGCCCCCGTCCGGGCGGATCTACCTGTCTTTCAAGTCCCCCGTGTCAGAACAGTACAGGGCTGACTCAAAACCACCTTGGATCAATGAAGTCATGAAGTGGGGACATTGGGGGATCATGGATGTGGAGAGTCAAACACCACTATTAGCACTTCGCAGTTATTTATATGATCCATGTTCAGTGTGCTCCACAGTTTGTAACCTGAAGATGAGGTACTTTAAGGAAAAATGCGAATCCATGCTTCGTTTGATAGCCTGGCTTATTATTTCCCATAGCAATGTTTTTTTGTGTGATGTAATTATCACTAATTTGAGTCATTTACCATCATATGTATTTACCAAGATAGTGTCACAATGCTCCTATGTATCCCCTTTATTCTGTGGCTTGTGTGCCCCCTTATGTCCTCTCATTCCACACCAGTGAAAGCGTTAGCCCTGTAGCCTGCAGCAGGGTGAAAAACACCAACAGGTAGCATGTCTGTCTGATATTATTGTGTTATGTCATTGCACAGTGTGTGTGTGGGGAAACAAGTGGAAAGCCCAGTGGTGAAGTCTCAGAGGTGGTTTCAGGTGGCTGCTGATGCTGTGCAGTCAGCCTGCTGCCTTCTGCTGTGGTGTTATGATCCCAACTCTCCCTCTCCGAAATAAAATAAAATAAAATATCCTCACTAGAATTTTTAACCAAATGGAGGTGGAGAGGACTGTAGTATCTTAAGTGTTATTTCGGAAAAGAGTTTTCACATGGGGCTTTTGGAGAGCGTTTCTCATAGATCTGTTCAGTGGAGTGATTTTCATTTCCATTTACTCATTCAGGTGTTAAACTGGTAGTCTCACACAGAGGGCCATTGAGTGAGTGAGTGAGCAGATTAAGGGTTGGTTTCCTGATTGAGCACATGTGGCTGGCGTATAGATATTCAGGTGGACTGATATTGGCCTTTCATTGAAAATCATTTGAAAATCAGATCTCTGTGGGTCATTTGTGGCATAGAGCTCATATGAAGAAGGTCAGAATATGACTTCCCTGAACAGCCTCAGGGGTATATGTAGAGCTATCGTCAATATTGACAAAATGAAATAACACAATGATAGAACTGACTGAATACCCCAATATGGATAATGGATGCTTCCAGGATATATTTATATGTGAGAAAATTATGAAAAGCAATTAATGGTAAAGACTAATCTGCTGCTAATAATTTCAGGAAATCTTACCAGTGAATAGTAATGCACCTTTCAAGGCCCTTGAAAGACAAGATTGAACTTATTAACAGTATTATGTTTCACAAAATGCTCTGAAATGTTCAAAACATGATATTTTATAAATATATTGCTTCGGTGCGTGGTTGAAAAAGCCACCCTGAAACCTAATGTGATTAATTTGTGTATTTGGTATCATAGACACACTGTTTGATATGCAGATGGGGGACGCCTGTGACCTTAAGATGACATCACCTGCCACTAAAAGGTTAAGGAACCCTGCCGTCATGCTGTCAACCACATGAACCACCTCAAGTCAGCGAGAGGCCATACTGTTTACAAATTACAGTTTGCCAATAGTGCGCATCCTCCTGTCAGCTGATTGTTATCACATAGGCTATATCACAGATGTCTAATGTATTTGTCATCACATTGGTGGCCATGCAAACACACAACCCCAGACATGAGGACTTCAGTTGAAACACAGCCTATGAATGAGATGTAGTCTTTCAATCCTAGTCAAAAAGTAAACTAACCTATAGCTTATTACATTGTATTTAAAATAACACAAACGTTAAGAAATACCTCCGAGTCACACAGAGACATATCTACCAGTCTTTAAGGTGGAATAAGATGGCTTAATGTCTGTCTTTAATCTGAAATTGTGTTAATTTATAGCACACATCATGAATTTAAAGCACCCATCAAAGACTCTCTAAATTCCAAATGTCCTCCCTCCAAGCCCTCTGTTTATGTCTTCAAACTCAACAATGAACTGTGTGACTCTGAAAACAACAGCAGCAGCAGCGAGCGAGGAGAAAAGTCAACACATTACATTGGTCTCGTTCAGAAAAAAAAAAAAAACACAACTCTTCTGAATACTTTCAGGGTTTGTAAGGCAGCTATCTGTGTTTGTACAGTACAGTGGAAACACAGATTGTAACGCTGTGGGCTATTTTTTTTTTTAAATGACCAAATATCAAGTTCATTTTATTCCGCGAAAAAAGGTACTTGGGCTGAGTGGCTCTGATGCTGCTTTTTGAGGATTTTAATAGCTCCAGCAGGATCACTGAAATTTTGATTCAGGTCACTACATGCATACCCACTGTTTATTTTTAACATTTCTGCCATCATCAGCTGGTTATTTGATTTTGATTTCTGTAGTAAACTAAAAAGACCCAGCAGTGCTTTAAATGGTGCTTATTTGATCACTTGCTGATTACCTGTCAGAAGTATTAGCAGCAGAATTTGGGGACCAAATTCAGACAAACTTAAAATAATCAATTGTGTGTTTAATTTTTACATGAGGGCTATGAGAGGTTAGTTTAGGTGGCATTGCATGCTGATGTGTGTTGTTAAGGGGCTTTATTTCTTTTTATACACTGTGCAGCAGACTCTTAAAAACATACTCATCCAGACTGAAAGTTTTTTTCTTGTTGTTGCAGTAACTAGGCATCAAGCAGATCATGTCAGCATATTGACCACCGACACATCTAAAATCTTTGGTGCCAATGTTTGGCACTTGACGCTTTCTGTCATCCAGTTGCCATTCCTGTGTGACAGCTGTTATGATTGTGAGGTGACAGATAGTCACAGCGAGGATAAACACAATTGTCCCTATGCAGATAGACTCATCGTAATCTCAGTGTAAACTCACAGTGTTGTAGAAGTGGTCTATGACAGTGCAGTATTTTCTGATAGGAAAACAAGCGCAAAAGTCTGCCAAAACCTCCAGCCTAATGAAGCAACTAATGAACACATTGTAAATGTTTGGGAGGAAGTGTAATCATTTGAAATACACAAGAAAGTCTCAACTTGACACAGGTCATATCAGACATGCCATACATATGGAGGAGTTGAAAACATTTATTGACTACAATAACTAAAAAGCAACACATAATACAATCATAATACTTCCTCAACAGCTCGACATCAGATAGATTGTTATGAACATCACTTGTAAAAGAGAAATAGTGTTTCTGCTTAAATAGTGTTCAGCTTATCTTAAAGCACACCATAGTCTTGAGCAATTCTTAAATAAATATCTTCTCAAACAGATCATGTCATCCTGTGTGGCCACAGTTGATATAAAGTAATGTTGGTTATGCCTCGTATGATTAGATATGACAAATGTCAGCAGGAGAGTTTTTATTTGGCTATAATACCATTCCCTGGTCACAGCTATTGATTTGGACCTTGCAGTTGTAGGTTATAAGGTGAAGTGCATGAAACCTGCAGATCTGTTCTGCTTTGATACGTGCAATTGAACAAGATCTAAACACAGTATAGCTACTCAGTTGACAGAGAAGACTAAGCATCCTGTCTTAGATTACCTGATACCACCGTCATTACATTATTAGCGCTCCACTGCAACTGCTGGAAATAGTAGTAATAGCGATTAATCTGCTGATTGCTTCCTTGATTTAGCAATTGAGCATCTGGTCCATAAAATGTCACCAAAAAGTGACAAATTCTCACAGTTCCTTAGAGGAAATCTTGATGTGTCAAGATTAAGGTCACAACTTTCATTTGCCATTGATCTGATGACTATTTTTGTGATTTAATTGATTTATTGTTTTGTCTTTGAAATGTGCGAAGACAGATGAAATATGCCTGTCATAATGTCCCACAGCTGAAGGCAGTGAACTCAAATGGATTAAGCTCTAGTAGGATTTTCATTTCTTTTCTTGCTTTTGGGCTTCAAGTCTTTTTTTTGGAACAGTACTCTCCCTATCAGATGAATATAAATCTTATTAGTAGCTGTTATAAAAATGCCAGTAATCTTTGTAGCAATCAAATTAGACTCAGTAGTTGCAGCAATAGTTTTAGAAAAAGTCATAATAGTAGCATTCAAAGAAGTCACAGTTGTTAGAAGCGTCAGAAAATTGGACCTCTAGTAGTTGTAGTATATTGATATCTTAGTGCTACTGTGATTGGTTGATTTCCATCTCAAAGCCCCTGGGATATTACTGAAAGTTTTGTTCTTGGAAGCATCTTGCTTTTTTGTGCTCCTACTCATACATCGACCAAAAATAGCAGCTGGTTAATTTGTGCATAATGATCAAAGGACAAATAGGCTGACATCATTTGCAGTCATAAGTGATATGACAAAACAAATTATTCACCTTATTGTTATTCAGATATTTTAAGCCATACTAAAGCATAGTTGCACCTGACAGCTTGAGGTTTAAAGGCTCACACTCAACTCCTCCACAGATCTCCTCTTATCTTTTTAATTTTTCA